AGGTCGACAATGCGGTCGCCGAGTCCGAAGAGAACAAATCGTCATTCGGACCATATCACCCGCGACGGTTTGTCGTTCCGCACCCTCACCAAGCCAAACCGAACTCGGAACTTTGGTGATGGGCATGAGTTGGATGGGTTCGACGACTTGCCTACTTCAGCCCATTCAGAGGCCAAATTTGTCCGACAACCTGTCAAGGCACCGCTCCGCAACAAGCTTTATCAGAATGTGCTTCCTGATCGGACCACCACGCCCTCCCCGGCTCCTTACTCCCCTGCGAAGGGTGATTACACGCCCCATTTCGCCCGCGATACCCAGGCTAGCCGAATTGCTCGGGAGACCTCGCTTGCTCAACGAGCTCCATCAGGCCCACTGGCGCCTCTCACCTCGTCGCGCGTTTCTCAGCTGTCGTCCAGGAACAATTTCAATCCCGGACTACCACAAGCGACGGTGCGGTCGAAAAAGAAGAGGAACCTTCCTCAATTGAAGCCTCATTTAATTTCCAACATGAATAAGGACAAGACTCCGCAGCGTAAGTGCACTAGCTCAATGGATTGCACATCGTTATACTGACCACCCTGTAGATCTTCAGGGTATGTTCTACAACCCCGACACGTACCGTTGGGAAGGCAACGAAAATGTCTTGAACGCGTTCGACCCACCCGCATCGTCCCCATCGCCAACATCAATGCCGCCGCACGTGGTTCGAGATAAGGAAGCTTCTTCAACGCCTCGGCCGGCTCTGATTACGAACATAAGCCACACGAAGGGCGTGCAGGTTGTGGGCGGCATGGTCTTTGATCCACAGAACATGTGCTGGCTCAAGCTCGGCCCACAGACGAACACCAAGTCCGAGATACCCGACCCCATGGACGGCTTCAATGCTTTGGACGACGACGAGGACGTCTTCAAGGACATTCCCGATCTCGACGATAACCAAGGCGACTCCAAAGAACCCGGTCGCGTTAGCGAAGTTAAGGACGAGTGGCTCGTCGGGGAAGAATTCGATGTTGGTCCCGAATTCGTTCGGAGACAGCGCGAAGAAGAAGACCGGTGGCGAAAGAAATGCGAGAAGTGGCTCGGGGTCGGAGACCGAGATCGCGAAGCTGCCAGATGGGCGATCCGCGACATCCTACTTCATCAGAGGGCTGCCCAGTAGACCTCACCACACCAACAGCATTCTACTTTGGGCGGCATATCATGCTTTTTTCTTCATACATAATTATTTTAATACCCCTGGCGTCATGGCGAACGACAGGGCGAGCTACGAACGAGGCGTTTTGGGAGAAGGATTACGACGAACAGTATTTACGACGATTCCAGTGACGACTTTCTGGACTCTTCTTTGTGTACAACATACTCCTACAAAAAGTCTTGAATAGGATTCATGACACACGGCTTTTACGACGAAAAGAGGTCTGGCAGAGGAAATGGCATGCCGACTTTATGACAACAAACAGATGATTTGGGATTTGGGACTCGATACCATCCAGACCCCGAGCTGGATAAGAGGGTTTATGACCACAGTGGAGGAAAAAGGACTGCTTTGACGTTTGCATTTTTGTACAATGCTTTTTATCTTTACGATGCTGTTTGGAGGAGGTTGAGGGTGGTTAGCCTTTCTTCGCCTGTGAAGGTGGTCAAGGATTGGTTGGTGTGTCTGTCATTGATCTTTTTGATGATGAGAGACAGGTTGATGAAAAGCTCTGCTTAGATTCATTTTTTTGGCTTCGGCGTATTGGATTAGCAATAACCCAATCTTCTTTTCTCAATTCTCTTCGTGGCCAGCTGGCTGGATAATTCCTTCTTGACGTGGACGTGAAAGGCTTTTTTCTCCATCGGCGACGACAAATGACGGTCACAACAGATGAACGGCGACAGCGACGACCATGTCAACAACCTCTTCACTGTTCAATATTTTCGTTCGATACTTTTTTTTATTTCCCGAAAACCTTTTTGAGCTCCGACTCCATTTAGTAGTAATAGGTAATTATAATGCGACAACCCTAATAACCTCAACAACGACGACAACGACGCGGGGTTCGTTTCGACCTCGATCCCTGACAAGATGCTTCTTTGTCTACTACACAAGATACACTTCAAAAAAAGATCCCAACCCTCGTTCTAGTTCATCAATTTTCCTTTTTTGACACCAGCCGATCACATGTGTCTCGTCCTTTTATTTCGCAGACTTCTTCTCCTTCTTTTGCTTGGGGCTCTTGCTCTTGGGGCTCTTTTCCGGCGCGGCCGCGGTGGAGGTCACCTTCTTCTGCGCCGGATTCCTCTCGGCCTTCTTCTCCTTGTCGGCCGCGGCGGCCTTTTGCTTGCTCTTGTCCTTCTTCTCGGGCGTCTTTTCGGCCGCGGACTTGTCGGTCTCGGCGGCGCTCTCAGCCTCGGCCTCAGAAGCAGAAGACTCCTTCTTCGCGTCAGAGGCAGCCTTCTTTGCCTTGGCGGAGAGGGCGTTGGGGTCGAGACCGCGTCTGCGCATGGCGTTGCGCTTGGCCTTGAGGACGTACTCCTCATCCTCGTCGTCGTCGAAGCCGCCAAAGTCGTCGTCGGTCTTGCCGCCGGCGTTGGACTCGTCGTCGGTGGTGATGGGGGTCTTGTCGACGACCTCGCCGACGGAGGCAGCGGAGCGGTCGCGTTCGGCCTTGGCGGGGGTGGGGCCGATCTTTTGGAACTTGGCGACGAAGAAGCCGTCGACGTTGTAGGTGTGCGGGTAGTAGCGGCGGGTGAGCTTGAGGGAGGGGTCGAATTTCTTGCCCATGTAGGAGGTGAAGCCCTCGCGGCCAAAGGGGAGGTTGGTGTCGACGAGCTTGACGTTGGGGCGGCGGGAGAGGGCGTATGCTACGACGGACTCGCTGTTGGTTTGTTAGCATGATTGAGACAATAGTTAGATGAGGTGGACAGTCTTACTTCTCCTCGACTGTGACGGAACAGGTAGAGTAGACAATGTAACCGCCCGTCTTGCTGTGGTGGTTGACAGAGTCAATGGCGGCGAGGATAAGCTGCTTCTGCATGTGCGGCAGCAGCATGAAATCCCTCTCCGTCTTGTTGGTCTTGACGCTGGCATCCTTTGCAATGACACCAGTACCGGAGCAAGGGGCATCGAGCAGGACACGGTCGAAACCGCCCATGGGCTTGGGGAACTCTCTAGCATCGTAGTTTGAGACGACGACGTTGCGGGCGCCGAGGCGGTGGATGTTACCAATGAGACCCTGTGCACGCTGCTTGCTGGGATCGTTGGCGACGATGACACCCGTGTTCTTCATCATGGCGGCCATGTGCGTCGTCTTACCACCGGGAGCGGCGGCCATATCCAACACGCGCTCGTTCTCCTGCGGCTCGAGGGCCATGACGGGCAGGAAAGAGGAGGCGGCCTGGAGGATGTAGTAGCCGGCCAGGTACTCGGGCGTGGCACCGAGGGGCACGTTGCTCTCAAAGATCTGGAGGCCGACCTTGGACCACTTTCCGACGGGCTCGAGGGTGACGCCGCGGCCGATGAGGGCCTGGGCGAGGTCTCTGCGGTGGGTGCGGAGGGTGTTTGTGCGGATGACGACGGGGCGGGCCGACTCGTTGGCCTCGAAGAAGGCGAACGCCTCACGGGGGGAGAAGAGGTTGAAGAGCTTCTCGGCGAGGTACTCGGAGTAGCCGTAGTAGGCGCAGATGTCCTTGATAAGTTGGTTGACGTACTCTGTGCGGGAGCGGCCCTCCTCGTGGAGCTTCGCAAAGTCGTCGAGCACTCTAATGTTTTCCGTGATTCTCGTTCTCAGGAGCTGCAGGTCGGGCGCGAGGAGCGTCTTGGTCTTGGCGGCGAGCTCGTCGTCCGAGTCGTCTTCGAGGATGTGCGGCTTGTCGCCGTCAATGTTGGTCTGGATGCCCATCTCCTCGAGTTCGGCCTGGGCGTCAGCGTCCTCCTCGGCCTGCTTCTGGTCGAGTCTCCGTGCGAGACCCTCAATGTTGGCCTTTGTGAGCATCTCCTCGCCGTCCGAGTCGTCTTCGTCCTCTGAGAACATGTGCTTTCCGCCGCCGCCACGCTCCTCTTCTGAATCGTACACGGAATCGTCGTCAGAACCATCTATGAAGTCGTCTCCCAGCTTCTCCGCGGCCTCCAGGTCGGAAAACTCGTCAACCTCGTCATCATCGTCGCTCATGTCGGAAGGGGCACCAGCAAAGTCGCCGGCATCGTCGTCGTCTGACATCTCTTCGTCCGAGTCGACAGGCTGGGGTGCCTTCTTTCCTCTGCCGTTGGCGGCCTTGGGCGCAGGCTTTCCAGCCTTGGCACCGTTGCTCTTCTTCGCATCCTGCTTCTTCGCTGCCGCGGCATTGGCCTTGGGTGCCGCTCCTCTTCTCCTCCTCTTGACCTCGGGAGCCTCGACGGGCTCGACTGGCAGACCGGCCTTGCGCTTCAACTTTGCGAAATGCGCCTCTGACAAGGGTTCGGGCGCACCCTGCTTCTTCATACGGTTTCCGACACCCATTTTGATCGATCAATTCGTATCGAAACTTGGGTATTTGGGGTGGGGGAAAAAGGGCAGCGAAGAAGTAGAAAATTCAAGATATACGGTACCGCCTGGTTCAAAGTCGGTCGCCGCTACACTGCTCAGAAGAAAAAAAAAAGTTCCTTCACTTGGGTTAGAAGCGGCCCCCCCACCGAAACTTTTTCCTATCGCGCACTGACCAGTACCGATAAGATTGGGCGATAAAGCCACGCCGCCCAGACGAGCGGTCGAAGCTCCACACTCCAGCTCATTCCGCCCCGCCATCCCTCTTCAGTGCGTCAACTCTAACTGAGCAGAGCGGGCAGCACACCAGAACACCGGACGAAGTCATTTCTAACGCCTTACCTCCAGCCGATCGTCTAGTAATTAAGTCTTCGCCGACATTCCTTTCCTATATCTCACACAACCTATAGCTTCTGAACTCAAATCGAAGATTCGAACAACATCGACCAGGCAAACTTCCCGAAAGCGCGCCACATAACTCAACACATCGCAACCATGGCCGAAGTCGTGTTCGCAAGACAGTTCCTGGCGACCTTGGAGTCGCGCCCGGCGAAGCTGTCCGCCGACCATGTCGAGGACCCCAAGAACTTCCCGGCTCGTCCTCCCGTGAGCCTCACCCCTACTAGCGAAGCTTTTGTAGCTACGAATAGCTAACATCATGCAGTACATCCTGCCCAAGATGCCCAAGGCCATGAGCAAGCCCTCGAATCTTGCCCCAGGTCAGGAGCGCAGCGTCAACGTCACTCTCAAGTCCCTGCGCAACCCTCCTCTGGATATCAAGCTCTCCTCCCAGTCGCTCAACACCTCCATCCTCGACATCAAGGCGGCGGTTGAGGCGGAGTCACGGATACCTGTGGACAAGATGAAGCTGCTGTTCAACAAGAAGCCGGTGCCAGACAGCAAGGTGCTGAAGGACTTGCTTACGGACGGTCAGGCATCTCTTGAGTTCTCCGTCATGGTTATTGGAGGAGCTGCTGCAGTCAAGCCCGAGCCTAGCGCTGCGGTTGCGCCCAACACTACAGAGGAGGACATCGGAGAGGCGGCATTGGACACGGACGAATTCTGGAGCGATCTCAAGGGCTTCTTACTGCAGAGGCTTAAGCACGAGCAAAAGGCGGAGGAGCTATCAGGGCTGTGGCGCTCAACCTGGCAGGCCCAGAAGAAGTCATAACGTAGAAATTCACGAAGCACAATACTTGAACATAGGTGATGGTCTAATAAAGAAGTGATTTCGTCGTCGTTATTTGGGCAAACAACAAGAATGCTCTGCATTCCGGCATGAGATGTTTTCCTATGGCACTGGGTTGATATAACCAGGCGGGCAGTTCAAATCTGGAAATTTACTTGTCACGCCCCAAAAAGAAACTCGGAGTGGGAAAAAGGTCTGGGTCCCGAAATCGCCAAAGGGGGAGAAAGTGGCCCTCCATATTCATCGTAAACTCTCCATGATCGTCGTCAATCGTCCCGGAAGACTGCAGCCGCCAAAGTGTATGCTCCGTCTCACCGCGTAAGGAAGGGTATGGGTGTGTTTGAGGGGAAAAGAGACATTTAACCAGCCATGCCCTTGCTGACGGTCTTGAGAATGGAGTCGTACTCGATGTCGTCGGCATCGTTGGCCTGGAGCTCGGTCGCGATACCAGTGAGCGAGCGCTTCAGGGCCTCCTTGGAGGAGGCGTAAACCATCTTGGCCTTTGGTAGTGGGTTAGCGACAATTCAATTGAGCTTTGCAAGAGTAGCTGGTACTGACCATGACACCGGCATCATCGGGGGACCAGGCGAGGAAGGTGATCTTGTTGCTGTTGGAGTGTTAGCTGCAGGTTCCAGGTTGGGCGAATGCGGGGCAACGTACCGCTCACCCTCGCCAGAGGCAAGGCTGTACTCGAAGTCGTAGACGGCGTAGCGGGGGCCCTTGCCAACAGCACCCTGATGCATTGTTAGAATTGTCTTTGAAATGCAGCATTGCGTCGCGGAATTGTAGAGAAACATACGCTCTTGGACTTGGTCTGGGCGTTGATCAGCTTCTCGCGGAAGTTGTCATAGTCCTTATCGGCCGAGGCCTCCTCGACGACGATCTCCTTGTTGTCGTCCGAGAGCTTGTAGATGATGTACTTGTACTTCTTGGAGAGCTTGAGCTCGTTGTAGGCCGTTATGCACTCCTGAGAGACTTGCGCTCTGGTGGGGAAAATCGTGTTAGCATGCGCCGCCCTGCTGAGGTGAGGTGGTAGATGGAGCCAGCTTGTCCTGCTCCGCCGGGATCGTCATCGAACGAGCGGTAGAGTCGCCCATTAGATGGTTCGTCGGCGCAGAGGTATGAGGCTCTTCGGAATGGGAAATACGAACCCGGATTGAGACTGCGATTGAGATTAGCATGGTGTTTTGGTAGACGGCTGATCCTTGGAAGCTTTTAGTTACTCACCATGATGCTGGTTTATGGCGGGGGTGTGGCTAGGAGAAGAGGCGGGAAAGTGGGCTGAGAGCAGATTAGCAACTAGAAAACAGGAGGGAAATTGAATGATTTAAAACTGTTTGCCGTGCAAAGCAAAATGGAAAATGGGGGTGCCTACTTCGAGATCGAGTGGTTCGGTCGGGAGATTTGCTGCACGGAGGGTGGTGGCAGAAAAAGAGGCAACAGCTTGCTTTCGGGTGATGAGGTATCTTGGACAGGAACGGAGGAGTTGGGTCACAGTGGAGGGGAAGCGGGCGAGAAAAACACCCGCATGGTGGGGTTGTTGTCCAGGTGAGATTGGAGCACGTGACTATCTGCGTCAGCCACAGGAGGTTGACGAATCCCACCCCAGGCGGCAGTCAACAGACAGGGCCTGAACTTGGAATCTCTTGTTGGGGGGACAGCCCATTGCAAGGGGCGGCGAGCTCCTGTTGCTTGGTTAAAAAAAACACAAGAAGTCATCACCAAAAAAACACATGATGGGTGCCTGTTTACGTGACGTGGACCGGGCTGCACTTAACGGTTGCCTACCTTACTTGTCAGCACGAAGCCAAGGAACTCTACCACTAAAAAGTAGCGGCCGAAACACTGGCCCAATTCTTCAAGCTGTCACTGAGCTGTTAACTAAGTAGCTACCGATCGACGTCAACACACCGTGCACAGCTCCAGTCTAGTCAATGCATGCATTTGCTCTTTGTCTTGTTATTCTTTAACTCGTTTTGCTTTCTTTCTTCATCTTACATAACTTGCTAGTGCTATTGTACAATACAGAGCTCTCAAGTCCCCTCAGGGATACTGCTGCGTAAAAGGGGGAAAGAGGGGAGATTAGTACAAATGGCCGCAGTTATACATCCTTTTTAATAGTAACACCAATGCCCATGCCCCTCGCCCAGTTGACTTTTTTTAATACAAGAAGACATTTTGATCATGGATCATGTTTTTACATCATACCACCCATGCCTCCCATTCCGCCCATACCACCCATGCCGCCCATAGGAGGAGGTCCCTTCTCTTCGGGAGCCTCAACGATGGCGACCTCAGTGGTACCGAGCAGGGAAGCAACACCGCTGGCGTCAACCAGACCGGTGCGGACGACCTTGAAGGGGTCAAGGATACCGGCGGCAATCATGTCGACGTACTCGCCCTTGGAGGAGTCGAAACCCTTGTTGAACTCGCTGGCGAACTCATCGGTGAGCTTGCCGACGATGACGGAGCCCTCAAGACCAGCGTTCTCGACGATGGCACGAGCAGGGCGGGTGATGGCGTTCTTGACGATGGTGACACCAAGCTGCTGGTCGAAGTTGGCGGTCTTGACGTCCTTAAGAGCAAGGGCAGAGGCCTTGATAAGGGCGGTACCACCACCGGGCAGGATACCCTCCTCAACGGCGGCGCGGGTGGCGTTCAGGGCATCGACGAAGCGGTCCTTCTTCTCACCGACCTCAACCTCGGAGGAGCCACCGACCTTGATGACGGCGACACCACCAGAGAGCTTGGCCAGACGCTCCTGGAGCTTCTCCTTCTCGTACTCGGAGGTAGTGGGGTCGTTCATGACACCACGGATCTGCTCGCAGCGCTGGGAGATGGAGTCCTTGGCACCCTCACCGTTGAGGAAGATGGTATCCTCCTTGGTGATGGTGATGGAGCCAGTGGAGCCGAGCATGTCGGGGGTGGCCTTCTCGAGCTTGATGTCAAGCTCCTCGCTGAAGACGGTACCGTTGGTGAGGACAGCCAAGTCACCGAGGATGGACTTGCGGTTGTCACCGAAGCCGGGGGCCTTGACGGCAGCAACCTGGAGCTGGCCACGGAGCTTGTTGAGAATGCAGACGGCGAGAGCCTCACCCTCAATGTCCTCGGCAATGATGACGAGAGGACGTCTCAGCTGAGTGGAGGCCTCGAGAGCGGGAATGATGTCCTGGACAGCAGAGATCTTCTTCTCGGAGAGGAGGATCAGGGGCTTCTCGAACTCGACCTTCTGGGACTTGGCGTCGGTGATGAAGTAGGGGGAGACGAAGCCGCGGTCGAAGCGCATACCCTCGGTAACCTCGAGCTCGTCGACCAGAGTCTTGCCCTCCTTGACGGTGATGACACCCTCCTTGCCGACCTTCTCCATGGCCTTGGCAATCAAGTTGCCGACCTCCTGGTCACCGTTGGCGGAGATGGTAGCGACCTGGGCAACCTCCTCGCTGGTGGAAATATCTCTCTTGTTCTTCTGGAGGAAAGCGACGACCTCGTCGACAGCAGCCTGGATACCACGGCGCAGGTCCATGGGGTTGCAGCCAGCGGCGACGTTCTTGACGGTCTCGGAGAAGATGGAACGGGCGAGGACGGTGGCGGTGGTGGTACCGTCACCGGCGGTCTCGTTGGTCTTGGAGGCGACGTCCTGGATGAGGCGGGCGCCGAGGTTCTCGAACTTGTCCTTAAGGGTAATTGCCTTCGCGACAGTTACACCGTCTACGAATCAGTCAGTTTTTTGATGGAATCCAACTCAATTGCATGTTTCCTTACCCTTTGTGATCTTGGGGGAGCCATAGCTTGACTCAATGAGGACGTTGCGACCCTTGGGGCCAAGTGTTGTCGCGACGGCCTTGGCCAGAGTATCGGCACCAGCGAGCAGGGCAGCACGGCCCTCAACACCGAACTTCAGCTCCTGTAGACTGAGTTAGCATTCTGAAGCTGATGGCATTGCCAATGCTTCGCGACGTGTTGACGAACCTTGTGGGCAAAGCGAAGCTGCTGTCCCAGGCCGGCACCGGCACGGAACTTGCTGGGAGCAGCAGAGAGGACGGAAGCTCTCGCGCGGGAAGAAAGAGCGCGCTGCATCTTGAATCTTATTATGAGGGTATCTAGGTAAGAAAGAAGAAATACAGAACTAAGGATTGAAGGTGTCGCCGGGTTTGAATCACACGTGTCGCTCCAAGGAGATGAAGTAAAAAGTTGCAGTGAGTGATAGAATTGGAGAAGCTTCCCGTCACCGGCTCCAAAAATTTATCTCGGACGTTCGGCTAAACGAGGTCCCTTCTCGAGCGCCAGTACCAAAGGGGATTAGCGCCATTGTGGGTGCATTTCTACCGTCTTCCAATGGCATCTGTCTCCATTCTCAGCATCCGCACATGGTATCCCCTAGTGACCATTGCCGAATATTGACATGGGTTCGTCCATCGGAGAACATCGGCGGACGATCGACTATGGGGTTTCTCCTGAGCAACTGTACCGACTTACCAAGCAATACGAAGTAATGGACACATAGCATGAACCCCAACGTTGTAGCAGCTCAGCAAACATTGGATGGCACTTTAAGCAAGTCACGAGAACTGCCATCCGAGCAATGCGTTAGCCGCATGCGAGTTACACCTAGATTTAACGGTGCAACGTTTCAAACAAGCTTCTTTTCTTAGTCTCCTCATAGGTGCGCATGCCTCGACTTTATTGCAGCTGCTCACTGTACTTGAAACATCAAGAAACGGAGCGCCGACGCCGTGGCGCCGTGATGCAACCCCTAACCTCTTGGCCGCGCTATCGCAAGGATGAGAATGCTACTACAAGGGAGTTAGAGGACCTGCTGCGCGAGACCGAGTTAGAATAGGCACGATCTTCTTGCAACATATATCCTTAATTTCCAACTCGCTTGGGCAAGGGGCCGACGCAACCTCCTAGATGGTGGTGCTCTTGGAGTATAAGAAGGGAGGCGGTCGAAGACGAAGATACGGAAGACATTGCAAGATCATCACCAGCATCCTATACTCTAATCTCACAAATACACACTCACTCTTTCTGCAAATATGAAGTTGTCACTCCTTGCCGTCATCGTGGCCTCCGCCTCTGCCGCTCAAGGCGCAATCACCTGGACCCTTGAGAAGGCCGCCAACCCCACGGCCGACCAAACCGACGCATACACCAAAATCGAAGCCGCCATGAAGCTGGCCGTAGCAAGACATGCAAAGCAGGGAAAGGCAAGCAAGACAATCCGTGTCTATTACACGCCCGGCGTTCCTACTGCAGAGGCCAACTACAACGGTGACCTCCGCTTCGGATCGAACCGATCTTACATGAACGAGCGTACGGCGCTCCACGAGATCTCCCACACGCTCGGCGTTGGCCAGACTGCCGCCTTCGACTCCAAATGCGCGTCCGGCAACTGGGCTACGGCATTGCCCCTGCTTCGCTCCTGGGATGGTTCCAGTGCCAAGATCAGCTGTGGCGGCTCGCATTTCTGGCCGTACGGGCTCAACTACGATACCGAATGGAGCGAGACAAACGCGGACCGTCACGTAAAGATCATCAATGCCATGATTGCTGATGGCATGTAAGGAGAGAGGGATTCTACATTCACCAAATTCGTGTACAAATTTCATTAAACCAGGATTGAACCCAATGGTTCATTCTACTGTACATACATCACAAGACCGCGAGAAGTAAATTGTGCTGGTCGTTTGTCAAATAAGACATTCTCCTCAAGAAGATTGTAGCTTTCTTCGTGAAATTGCATGCTGCCATTTAAATCTGAAGCGTGTCATTGCTGGCTGTCGTCAGTCAATCGTAAGAGCCCCGAGACTTTAGCCACGACAACTGAAGTCTAAACGCTCGATCTCAATGTCCGGATCTATTGTGTCTAATGCGATCTCGCCAGTGCACAACCACATGTTGCACTTTCTGCTGTTATCACTCTATACGTATTTTTCAAGGATAGGTAGAAAGGGTCAATGGGAAATGCTACAAGGTATAGGCAATGGAAGAGATAGTGAGCAAAAGAAAAAGGGGGAGCAGAGCCAAAATCAATTGTGCACACAACGAAACTGTTCTCCTTTCAATGAGGTACCTCCAACGCCAATCCGGGCTTCTCAATTGCTTGACATCAAGTCCAGTGCTAGACGTTGCCTCATTGGCAAAGACTGTTCCAGCTCATGACCCGCCCATCGACCTACTGGTGCATGTTGGGGCCCATGGCCGTCGAATTGATGTCATTCAACTCGACTCGCTCCTCCCATCCCATGCGGTTCGAGTCAATGACTTCGGCGTAGCGAGTGATATTCTCATGCTGATAACAGACACCATGGAAGTCACCATTGGCGCCCTCCCAAAGACCACCGTTCCAAGACTCCCTAGCCGGTTCATTGAGCGACGAAGTGCCCAGAGGTAAATTCGCCGGGGCGGGTTCGCCAATGTGTGCGAATGAAGGATCAGCTTCCTGGCTATTGACGCCATTCAGATAGACGTCCAAGTTGACCGGAATCTGGATGCTGAATGTCGTATAGCCATTCTCGTTCCGCATCGGCTGCATGGTATCAGTGCTGGACGCCGGATGGAAGCGATGGCTTACGCTCTCAGGCACCTGAAGGAGGTAGTACGCCATGGGAGCGAGACCCTCGACGTGAATTCGTATCTCATTTGGAGGTGCATCATTCTTCCAGGCTTCGATTGCTTCCATATATCGCTGCATATCGGTGTCTCCGTTAAGCTGATGAACCTGGGTCGGCCAGTCCCGACCGGCTTGCCCCATCTGGATATTCTGACCCGGATATTTCGCCTGGTCCAAGAGCTGCTGCTGGACCTCGGCATCGGCCTGAGCATTGGTCTGAACCTCCATCTGGACATCATCTTGAGCTTGGATAAATTGCTGGTCTTGTTGAAGCAGCAGTTCTAGGCCTTGCTGGTCGAGATGAGAGTTCTCATGCTGAGCTTCACTACCGTGGAGGGAATGGCCGGATTGAGGAAGGATCTGATAAGAATCCTGGCGAAAAGGGTTTGCGAAGGGCTCTCCCTCCTATTGAATATCAGTGATTGTGCAGGAAAATTTGAATGAGAACTCACCTTTTCGGGGGCCTCATCTCTGCCCAGGTCACCTTCATCCTCTTGATACTCCATAACGGCATCCTCAGCCTCACCATCCGATTCTTCTTCGCCTGCTGCATTGGCAATCAACTGCTAGTTGTCACCTTGCTGGCAGGGCTGGAGGAACGGCTCGTGAAAGCTGATAGTTCTGATGGCGTCTTCGTTCTCGGGGGTCGGCTCGTTGATATAGCCGCGAAGATTTGCATCCTTCTCCAAACTCTTGGCCTGGCTGGGAAGAGGGGGGACACAATATCCCATCCTGAGTAGTCTCTTTCGCTCTCGCGCTAGGAACTGAGTGAAGGCCGTCGACGTGACTCCGGCGAAGCACTGGGGGATGATGTCGTCCCAGGGCACCTTGCCATGATCTTTGGCACAGATGTACTGCACCCAAAGTAAGGTTACGAGCAAGGGCTCTTCTTCTGTGTCTGTAGTTAGTCGCTAGGAACGAGTCTTCAATGGAAAGGATGTTACTTACTTCTCCACTGAATCAGGGCCCGATTCTTTGGGCGAGTGGCCACCTTGACACCTTTCTTGGGGCTCTTGTGTTCCTTGACAGAGGTATTCTTCCTCGCTGATTTGTTCTTCCTGATTTTGGCATCCTGCTTCATCTTTGGGACTTCGGGAAGCTTGCCCTTTGACTGCTTAGAGGGTGCCATTTTGGACTGAAAGTAGCATCGTTAGCAAGAATCGCATTCAGTGAAGCACACTGCACGGTGGCGAATTTTACGCCAGTTCTTAGGCAAAGAAAAAAACCACAAATGAATTCAGGCAGACAAAGAAGTGACTAGTAAGATGAAAAGGGGACGCAGCGAGGCAAGAGGTTGTCTCAAAGGGAGTACAGTCTTTGCGTGAGAGATGGTGAGGTATAGGAGCACTGAAAAGGACAGACAAGCCAAAGGGGAGATGAAGAATGACCTACCTCTAGGATCTGAACAGACTGATTGTTGAGATTGTAGTAGGCAAAGTAGGCGTATCGGAATGGCTTCGGTCGTAAGATAGGTATAGACGAGGTGACGATACACGCTTCTTGTAATGATCTTGCCTGTGGTGACCTTCAGATATGCGTGTAGTGTTTGGTGGTGAATAATGCAAGAGAGGCGCGGAAAGGTATATGATGGCAAAGTCAGGATATGCGACTTTTGGTTGGGTGTGAATGGAAGAAAGAAGAGTAAGGTGAAAAGCAGGCCAGGGTCGCGATATTATTGACAGAGGAGGGCGGTTGGGGCCCGTGGGTGGGCAAATCGTTTTCGACCCACTTGAGGCGGCTCGTTCGGTAAGGTGTGAGGGCGTCTGCCTCGAGTAGAAGTTGTAGACGCGTTGGGAGTGTTTGGGTTGCCGAAGGTGAGGGAAGCGGACGCGTTTGGGAGACTCGGTCACGGCCTGCCAGGCAACCTGGTAGTCAGGTAGTTGTTACAGATTTGGGAATGCCCTCAGGCGCTGCCAGGTGGCGGTGTCACTTCTAATGGTTCCTATACGGTAAAGAGTATCATTCGTATTGATATGCCCCTAAGATGCGCAAGAAGAACGACTGTGATGTTTCTAGTCATGCCCATGAGATGACAGACATCATCTTCTTCTTACGAGACTGGTCAGGTATGACAGCAATTCTGGCATGCAAGAAATAGAAGCTAACTTGATACTTTGTGTTGTCTTGAGTGAGGGAACCGACTCGGGGTGAGACTTTTGCATCTGTATGATCCCATCGGCCGGAGCAACAAAAGGTCAAATCCAGCACAATCTTGATTTCACGAAGGAACAAGTTACTCAATGTGAAACGAATTATTAATCTCGTGGTACGTACGAGTCAAACTACCAGTGATCTACAAAACCAATTTCCTCCCATCATGCCTTCCATCTTTCCAAAGCTTGGTGATCGGATGTGTTGTGTACGTCTCAGAGGGGGGAGTGCTGGCCACAAAGTCGGACAGCTGAACGTTGAAGACTCGTCATGAGCTTCATTAATTGGAACTCTTCTCCTTCTTCGATTGACCTCTTCCAGTGATGACGCGCAAGAATCTTCTGAATCTGGACTTCGTGGGCTTCGTGCTCATATGCAGAGACTGCTCATATTCCTGTCCCGAGATTGGGACTGCAGAAGCGACGACTTCTGCACTACCGCCAAAGAGCTGTCCATCATTTGCTTGGTACTGTTGCATACGTGTGGCTGTAGCGTATCCGGGTGGCAGATCATAGTTGGATTGGTGTTGCTTGCTGTGGAAACGTTGATGAGGGATAGCAGAGAGTTGCTCTTTGACCGCAGCCTGGACTGCCGCGGCAATCATTGCGGGAAGAGTGGAGGTGATCTGATGCAGATCGGTGTTGACGGTGTTGAGCGCTGTGTTGAGCATGCCGACAGAGCCGTTGAAGTTGTTGCTTTGAGCGTTGAGCATGGTGTTGAGAGTTGCGAGTTGCGAGATCATGGAAGTGTTCATGGACTTGTTGAGGTTGGTAAGAACAGTGTTGAGTGTCTCAACTTGGGCGCTCATTGAAGTGTTCACTGCATCGTTGATAGATGACAGTCCATCAAGCTGGCTGTCGAAACGACTCATGTTGCCCTCCATGCGAGTGGCATTCATGCGCAGAGGGTTGGCGACGTCAAGAAGAGTGCGCTCCGCAATCTGCATGAACTCCTCGGCGATGGCGTCCAAGTCGTCTTGGGTGGGGTTGTTGATGCCCTTGCGCTGAAGTGCCGCCTGTGTAATCTCCAACATGCGCGCTTCCTTGTTGATTGAGCTCATCCAGTTTTGAACTCGGTGATCCACCTCTTGAAAGTTGGCAGGGACTCCGTGAGCTTCGTCACGAGCCTTGATGCGACGAGCAATGTCGACCTTGATGATGTTGTACTGCTGGGGAGGAGGATGGATGGCAGGGTCACCCCGTGCAGAGCGAAGGCGCTGGAGATGCTGGTAGTCCTCAACGATGGTCTGAGGATCCTCGACGGCAGATGTCGTTGTGGGGAATTCTCCTCTCTTGCGTGCTTGGATAAGTTCATCGCGCATCGCCTGCACTTGGCTTGGGGCGTATGGAGTGTTGCCCACCAAGACATAGTTGGCAAAGCTTGGCGTCACGACAAAACGGGCCTGAGCAAGACCGGAAGACTTCTCTGTGTCTTCGTTCTTAGTGGTCGGGAACGACACCTCTGTGTCAGTAGGCGAGTCGGGCGAAGAGAACAAGCTGTTGGTGTTGCTCGAAGTGTCGGATCGGGGCGACGAGGCGCTAGACGAGAGCTCCCAATGGTTGCCCATGTCGGCACCAGCTGAGAGCGGAGAGGCAGACATTGCGTCGCGATGGATTGATGTCGTAATTGTAATCGCGCGATAAAGGAAGAAGAGTTTGATGACTCCGTCTGCTGGAGTGGTCAGTTATTTGTTCAAACTCGTCGACCTGAGATGGGAAGAGAAAAAAAGAGGCGAAAGAGGCCGCGGCCGACAAAATACTCACCAATGGGTCCAGAAGCTGGAGATGTAGAAGGGAAGAAATACTTCTTCTTCGACGGAAGCGAGATGCTTTGCTTGTCGTTTGATGGATTGCACGAAAATTGATTTCGTCAATCGTTCGTCTGGTAGAGGGGACGGTTGCCGCGATGAAGAAGGGAAGAAGAAAAAGACAACTTCGCTGGGTTGCGGGAGGGGGAAGAAATCAAATTTGCGTGTACGGCCCACGCAGAAGAAAGCCGGAAAATTTTGGGGGCAGCTGTTTGTGTGCTCTCGGCTGAGCTGGCCGAAAAAGTTTGCCTTGGTGAGGTGAGGGAAGGAGGTGAGGTGGGAAGAAGATGAGAGGAAGGTGCGATGAGAAGGTGAGGTGTGGATGGGGCACTCTGGTTGGCTGCAGGGTCTCCGGACTGAGAGGTCAGGCAGAACGTCCACGGGTGCAAGTGAGCATGAGATGCTCCGGTTGGCCTAAGTTTCTCCGAGAGTGCGTGAGGTGTTTTCTGAGATTGAAATTGGGAAGGAAGGAGGGAGGTGCAGAGGGAAGTGCACCTGCCTGATGTATGCTTGCCTGTTTATGTTGCCTTTGTGACCACCCGAAGATGCTGGAAGCCAACACGCTCGTATCCTTGGTGACTTATCACGTTACCAAAGATATCTTGCGTCCAGAAGATTCAATTGTCAATGCGAGGTTTCTCTGTGCTCTCGAAATTAAGATGCAGACCATGTGAAATGAAGTTGGCTGGCATCGGTGGAAGATAGCAGATGCCCCAAAGGTAAGCGAATTCATCGGGGCGTAAATGTGCAGCAGTCACGGGATTGGAATGACTGATATTGTTTGAACTTATCATATGAGATTTCGATATCAATTACCCACAAGATTCCCGCCGCGCGCGGAGCAGCAGCAGCACCGTCTGAAGGCCAGAAGACCCGGGCCGGCAAACAAGGCATGCGATGAAGCAAATTGGGTAGCATCATGGACCCTCATGACAGACTTATGTTGTATCCTATGCGATTCAACTGGCACAGGATACGACAAACAATCGTTGTGATGAACGGCAGGCACGACAGCTTTGAGGAGGCTGTTCTTACACAGGAATAAGAGTGTCGTTGAAATTGAGCCCCAAATGCTCCGGAAGAAGTGGGATGACCCCTGCCGACCGTTGCCTAGACAGTTCCACTTGCCCAATCAGGCAGCGCCATTGCGGAACCTTCAACGGCGCGCACCATTCTCGGGTCTCACGAAGCCTGTATGATGATCATTGCATTGCGAAAGAAGTGAAAGCCACTCGTTCTATTTCTTGAGTCTCTAATTGACCCTAACCATCACCACTCCCATGTATGAGCCATCTCTGCCGGCGTATGTTGGTGAGCCATGACGGCAACATCGTCCCTGTAAAGAGCCAATCTCCATTCCTATTCAGAAATTGTTAGAAAAGTCTTGGAAGAACTGACTAAAAACTACTCACATATCCCAGCCAACTGTGCTGCCTCTAGCTCCCCATGTATCGCGCACGTATCTGGCCATGCGTAGACTGGCATTTCCGGTAGGAATCCCCAGCCATGATAGCGAGCTGGCATGTCGCTAAATCTCGGCATGCTCGTCGAACTTGGGACCATCTGTGTGAAACCCTCGGAATTAGTATCGCTCGAAACGGACGCGGAAGGAGGACTTCGAGATCCGCCGCAATCGTGAATCGGGCAATCGCTCGTCTTCTCCACAACGTAGAGAAGTTGCAAGTCATCGTCGTCATCGCCATCGCGGCCTCGGGGGACGTCGGTGTACGAACCGTTGGTTGAGTCAGTGCCAGAGGCCTCGGGGTCGTCCTTGACCTTGAACTGAGGCAGATCCTCAGCATCGTCCTCGTCATTGTAAGACGAGACAGCCGGGTGGTTAGCCAGCTTAACGCGCTTCGTCTCCTTAGTAGGAGTCTCAGTAGGGGTGCGCTTGCCCTTAGACTTGGGCGGAGCCTTGCCCGGGGTCTTGGGGCTGGCGCTGCTGCCATCAGGAGGGGCAGCACTGCCTATGGGGCCAGCCTTGGACAAGTCGCTAGTCTTCATGCCATGAGGCTTGAGGATGCGCTCGAAACGCTTGGCACTGGACGGCATGCCAGGTCAGCTTGTTCCTGTCGAAAACTTGACGAGGAATGTGGGAAGAAAATTGACTTACGCAGCGGCCTTGGACGCGATGTTGCAATCGGTAGCAACCGCCTGGAAATCGATCTGTTCTTATTAGATGATTTGAGTCTCTAGATGTAATCAAGTGATATGGCACTTACCTTTCCACTGGAAGAATGCTTGATGCAGTGAACCAGGAAGGTCACCTGGCCCTCAGCATCGGTTCCGACAGAAGCCATCTTGAGTGGAGTGGAAGAGGTTGAGGATGGGTATTGTTGGGGGAAGTTAAGTATGAGTAGTCTTATATGAAGATGAATTCCGAAAGCAAGGTCCAAGAGCTGGAAGGTTGAGGGTTTGTTGTGAAGATGAGTTGGGTTGGTGAGAAGTTCTGGTGAGAAGCTGGTTCAAATAGTCAAGCTTGGTCTCTGATGGACTGGGATTGGCAAGAACCCAGGAGATGAGGCGGGTACAAGTGGTTCAAGATGTGGACAGGTTAGGCAGGTGCTTGAAGGCTCTTATCAATATGGCGGGAGCAGTCCGGACCGTCAGTGGGTAGTCGAGACGAAAGACCATGGCAGTCTGGACGAAAGGCGGGAACAGTCTGGACGAAAGGCAAGACACTTGACGACATTTCAATGATCAGGTGACAAGGCGAGAGCTACTCAGACAAGAGGCAGGGACAACTAGTTCAGAATGTGGCTGGTCAGGCAGTTGACTAAAGGAACTTCACTGTGCTAGCGGGAGAAATTTGGATACACATTTGAATATTAGACCATATGGTGAGATCTATCTACCTGAGACAAGAGGCACTCACAGGTGGTTCAAAACATGAATGAGGCAGATCAGTCGAGTGGTTGAAGGGTCGTATCAATAATGGAGAGGATGCTCTAATCGAAAACAAGACCAGACGAAATAGCGAGAGCTACCTATCTAGACAAGAAGCAAGACTATGCGGTTCAAAAGGTGACAAGAGACAAGGCAGTTGGTCAAAGAAATTCAAACAAATGGCGAGCAAAATCTGGACGAAAAGAAGACCAGACGACAACACAATGATCAGACGTTGTTCAGACAATGCGAGAGCCACAGAAAGAACGGGAATACTAATCTAGATCGTAGGATGATTACAAGACATAGCTATACGGGCCAGGCCCTGCTTAATTGACGATTCCTCGACCTAAAGACAATTTCTAGACCCAGAAAAACCAGGCTGAGCTTCAGGAAATCAAGAAATGTAGGGCAAATAGGTAGGCTTTACGATGAAATTATGGTTTCGAAAAGGATACGGCTTATGAGACGAGTTAGAATTGAGTTGCTCAAGCTAGCATATCCTGCTATCACCCAACCCCAATCCAGATATTCCCCACGCTAAGACCATATGCAGAGAGTTCGCCGGCTTCGTATCCCTTTTCTGCTGAGCACTGACTGGAACACAGCGTTCAGTCACAGCGGAAACATTCAGTCGGAGTCGCTATCCGGGTTATTGAGCTCTGCCTTGGCAGCAGCTTCGCCATCGGTGTCAGACTCGAGCTTGCCCGAGATGTCCTCGTCAGCGTCAGAGCCGGAAGACTCGTTCTTCTTGGCGGTCTATTAATGATCAGCATAGGTACTTAATGAAGGAAATATTATGAAGATTGAAGAAAAAGAAAATTCCGGGGAATGAATTGCAAAAAACATATCATACGACTCACCTTCTTCTTGCGCTGGGCGATGCCCTTCTTCTTAACGGGCGTCTTCTTCACTCCGACAGGCTTCTTAGCAGGGCTGCCACCGCTGGAGCCATCAGTGGCGGACCAGCCATGCTTCTTGGAGATGGTACGAAGGCGGTCTCTGGCACTCTTGCCATTGGCCAAGCCCATGATACCGGCGACGTTTTCATAGTCGATGTCAGGGCGCGTGTTCATGCTGTCAAAGACAGCCTTGACGAACCTGGCCTCGGTTTCCGTGAGGATGGGGACGGCGGACTCGCCCTCGGTAGCAGTGGACTTCTTGGGAGGCATTATGCTAGCTCAAGTCAGTAAAATCTTCAGTGAAGGCTTCTCAAGTATGAGATATTTGAGAGTAAAGTAACTTACGATGGTGTCTGGTGATGTGTAGATATCGATGTGGAGAGTAATGCTGGATTTTGCAAGTTGTCTATGTGTCTGCTGAGTGACCTGAGAAAAGTGTGGGAAGAAGGAAGAAAGAAATTTTCGGCTTCAGCCTCAGTAGAAGGGGTTTTGAGTCCCCCATAGGCACCGGTCCATCAGTCGAGAAGGTGCCCTCACTCAGAGTACCCGCCTTGTGAGGCTGCTGTGCCCGTACAGGGCGGGAGCAGATCAGTCGACGTTCCGTCAAGTTAGGCTACCGAGGGGGGCTGGCAATACTGAAAACTGGAAAAGTGTGGAAAGATAGATAACAATGGAGGCGAGAAGAGACAAGAAGAGCAAAGACGACTGACAATTCTGATGGAGAGAAAGATAAATAAATGAAGGACCTCACCACAAGTGACTTCAAGGTTGTTTTGCTGATCCTATACTTTTCTTACTGACATATTGAGGCCTAACGAGATCAGGTCAGACTCAATGGTGATGGGCAGTGGCTTTTGGGTGTTGCAGACTTACTCATCTGAGTATCAGGCCAGACATGAAGCGTGATCTCACATATGGACAGATGTTACTTGAGTGGCGTATGGACTTGAACATTCCCAGAAGTCACGACGAGAAGGGTAAAAGTGCTCCTGTAAACTCGAGATCGTATCGACGTCCTGGCTGGGCTATCCCCAGACTATCCTGGCACCGTAGACATATCGTATAGGCCACGCCTAGAATCCACCTCTCCAAAGATTTCCGTTCCTGAACATCCACTCATTCTCGGCAATCTGGTAATTGAGAAGTCTTCTTAGATGTCGAACACTTCTTCCTTGGTCTTGATGACAGCCTTGTCATCACCGGCCTCGTCCTCGACCTCCTCATCCTCGACCTCCTCATCCTCGACCTTCTCATCCTCGACCTCCTTATCCTTGACGATCTTCTTGCCCTTGGCGCCCTTGGAGCCAACTCGTCCAGTGGGCTTCTTGACCTTGGAGGCAGAAGTCGGGGTGCTGGCAGAAGCCTGCGCGGTCTTCTTCTTGGGAGTGGCAGTGGCCTGGTCTGCCGGGGTGAACTTGCGCTTTATCTGCCCCCACCTAGTCTGAACGTCAAAGTATTAGCACATGTTGACTGCGTAAGTATTTTTGTCAAGGGGAACGCGAACGTACGCGAGCGACACCTCCGCTCTTGAAGCCAGCGGCAATAGCGAAGCTGTCCCAGTCAATGACAGGCTTCTCGGTCATGTGCATAAAAACATGACACATGAAATTGACATCGGATGCGGACATCTCGGGAAGGTTCTGGTCAGCCATGATGTTTTTCTGAAGGATTTTTGTCAGCTTGATGAGTTCACTTGGGAAGTAATGGTCAGATAGAGCATACTGTGGTAAGTTCTTGGTGTGGTGAAGGTTTTTGATGTGCGATCGAGTTATTGTGGCTAAATGTCATCAGCGTTTTGAATATAAAAGCATTTTTGGTTGAAGGAGGCCTTACTTTTATCTTGATGACTTGGTGACTGTTGCAGAAACAGGTATTTTGTGGTTATGGGCGCGTGGTTGTGGGGGGTGAAGAAGTTTTGAGGCTCATTTGCGTGTGGATAATTTTAAGTCTGGAGGGCAAGTGAATCGAAACGGAAAGAGGAAAAAGTTGTTCGTGCTGCAGTCAAGAAACAGAAGGAACTAGGCAGATGGAAGGAAGTATGAGGTGATCAGGCAGTGAGGCGGTCGACGGTGGTCCCGGTCTCTCATACTTAGCAATGAGGTAGATGTATATAGATTTACCCTCGATTTTGATAGAGATTCTGAATACATGATAGGCGAATAATCACAGTTCTCAAGTGAGTATGAGGCTAAGGCAATCGCGTCTGTCGCTAGGTTACCAGGAGCCATTCAACATTGCGGACTCGACATCTGGACTTTTGACTTTGTTCACATACGGTGGCACCTCTGAAAATCGTTTCTTCCCGAACGCCTATGATTGATATTATTCTAGGGTTATGTGACGAGGTGACATTGGATTTCAACAGCTATCGGTTGCTATGGCCCTCCTGGGTACAGCCACGGCAACCACGAAGATCGCGATGTTGATTGAGTACAAATAAACCCAAGAGACTCTCACTCTTTCCAAATGTTCCGGGGCTGAGATTGTATGTTTGATCGGGATTCGGCACAGAATACCCCTAGTATTATGATTCCGAACAGTCACAATCTCGTTGGTACAAGAATTACCTCGTGCATTTCGATCGGCAGATACTGGCAGCCACCTTCCTGCCTAATGATTGAACACATGATATGGAGACAAGAAACCCATGCTCGAAACAAATTTCATGGTAAATGGGGTTTGCAAGCATGTAGATGTTGGCTATGGCTCCGATGGGGTTCTACACACCCGGCCAACAAAACAGAGTCCTTGGCGAGCCGTTGGTTCACGACTTAACCCACCGAATCGGGAATACTGCTCGTTGAATCCTCCAATCAGCGATGGACAGATCGAAGAATGTTTTGAGGGGCCTGGAGAAGGTGCCAGGGTGAAGGAGTCTTTTCCGACGCGGTCGCAGTCCAATCTGATGCGGCACAAGACGACCCCGGCCACTAGGTTCTATGTCTTTTGCCATTTTGCGATATTCGAGTCCGAAGACCTGCAACTCCCTCCAAATCATCTCGATGCAGAACCACTAAACCATGCCAAAAGAAGAAGTCTACGATCTTCATCCTCACGGTTGGGAGAACGACCCAGACGTGGAGAGATTCAGAGTCTCTACCCTAGATTATTTGACATGCCAAACATATAACCACTACGCCGTATTCTTCCGCCTAGACGATGCCGCCAAACCAAGAGTGATCGAAGTTCTGAAAGCAGGTCTTGAGAGAACACTTGCTCAGGTCCGCCAGTTGAACGGAAGAATCGAGAAAGATTCTTGGGGCGACTATTCCTTCACCAAAAGAAAGGACTCAACCGTCCGCTTCGTCGTTCAATGGCTTGACGCCCAAGAGGATGCCAACAAGTATCCGTCCTTCGATGACATCGAGAAAGCCAACTTCAGCGCCGTGTCCCTCGGCGATCTCAGGCTCTGGGCCGTGTCACCGATGACTTACGGCGAGAGGCCCGAGGCGACTCCGGAACATAGTCCCGTCACGGCGGGCTTCAAAGCAAACTTCGTCCGCGGCGGACTCGTCTTCAGCACGCACCACCATCATTACTCCCAAGACGTCATGGCCTGGGCCGGCTTCATCCACCAGCTGGCTGAGAACTGTTCTGCATTTAGCAATGGCACTCCCTACCCTTCGTGGGACCCGGCCTGTAATGATGTCTCCCGCTTTCTCAAGCCCGAGCCTCCAGAGGAAGAGAAGGTTGATGGACCACCGCCGCCTGACAGACACCCCAACCACAGAGTCGGAATCTGCCTTCTCTTCCATCTACCAAAGAGCAAAGCAGCTCAGCTGAAAGACCTTGCAAAGCCCGAGGACGGTACGTGGATCTCGACTTACGACGCCTTTTCGGCGTTCATGTGGCGGCACATGACTCGTCTCAGAGCCCCGGTGTTCAAGACTCCGCCAGAATCAAAGCTCTTCTGGTGCGAGACCATCGACATGCGTCGACGTCTGCACAGCCCAAAGGTGCCCGCTCGCACTCAGCAAAACGTCATGTACGTGGCCATGTCTACGACGGCACCCGTGGAACAACCCACGGTATCGGAGCTCATCTCAGACTGGCCGTTCTGGCGGGTAGCTCGGTATGTGCGACAACTGACGGACAGCGTGACGCAAGAAAGTCTCGACGAAACGCTCAAGATGGTGGCGACGATCCGCGTGAAGTCGAGTCTCAACTCAAGAATCGATTCGCATCCGCCCATGTCGACCATTGTGGTAGACCACCGTGACGCCAATATTCCTTCGGCAGACTTTGGCTTCGGGAAGCCTGCGACTTATCGGTACTTAATGGGTCGAATCTCTGAGGGAGGCGTGCTTGTCTACCCGCCTCGGGATCCGAGGCCTGAGTCAGATGAGGGACCGGAGATTGCCATCATGTACGAGAAGGAACTGGCTCAGGCGCTCATCGAGGACTCTGAGTGGAACAAGTTCTTCGAATACAGGGGCGTTGATGCCGAGCATACCGAGGTGTAGATATGGCAGATACCTGAGAAATGCGATGTTCAGCTTCTTTTTTCTTTATCTTCTGTGTGGATTGTCTGAGCCATCATCACTTTTTCAAGCTGTTGATTCGGCATTCTCGATGACGAAAATCAAGTTGTACACCACCAAACCTTTCTCCCAGTCAATGCTCCCTGTTGCCATAGTTCACGACCCCTAGGTATCCTTTGAGCCTGTTTGACACCTAAGTGACGTCTGGAATATGTCGCGCAGCCGAGTACTCAAGTACCTGGTATGTCCAAACCGAGGTAAGTACAGCTAATTCTGATACTGGGAAGATCTTAAGGAAACCAGTATCTCGCCGGAGAGGTGCCAAGGAACCCCAGTGATGCTTTCTTACACCAGACACGGCTCCCACGTGAACAGATGGGTGCTGACACACTCGCAATCTCAGCTGAGGAATCGGCGCCTCCACTCTGACATGGCGGCATCGGTTCCCGATGGTCTCCACAACGGAGCGGGACGCATCTCACCAAGCAAAGCCACCGCCTTATCAAATACCGACATGGTACTTAGCTAAGCCGCCAACGTCTGCCCCGTCTTCCCATCGCCAAGTAGGCAGGACGTCATATTCTGAAGCTCTGGGTTGGCGGGGCTGGGAAAATGAGGTTCTGCAGCTCGTCTATCTTACTCAATGCTTTGCCAACCTTGCTTGCACTGCGTCAGGTAAGGTAGGTAAGGTAAATTCTTCTCGGTCACATCGAATTTGTCGAGCTTAGTCAAGCCCACGCATCGACTGCCTGCAGGCCCCCCAGCAACGAGATCTCGGAAGAAAGGCCAATTCCATGATGGAGACCGGATTTACAGAGAAGCACGGCAATGCTCACCTTTCTCCGCAATCTCAATATGCGGGTGTGGGTCGCACCGAGCGGAGTTCCACCTCGAAGCAACCCAGGACCGCTCGGTAAGCGTGAACCACCCAATGACAAACATCGCAAACTACCGAAAAGACTTGATGGGTTCGCTGTGGCATTGGATGAACCAGGGGAGCTTACTAAGGTCCAACGTCTTGGTTACCGAATGCTTGCCAAAAGCCATACGCTTTTTCCCCATCGTCAACTTCAGCATGTTTCCTAATGGGGAAATTTCCTATCAAGGAGGGACGGGCAAGGCTTTGACGATGCCCTGCATCTTTCATGTCGACTATTCGGAATTGTTCCTTATGCTTCTGGGATTCAGATCTATTGAAAACCCCACTTGTCGATAACGTGCTTGGCTTGGTCATTGACAACCACGCATTCGTCCACGATGCTGGCTGAACGGAGTCTACTCCGAAATGAGGGCTTTTGGCCACTGATGTTACTGTCACTGGAGGGCGTTTTTGCTTCCGCTGTACATCGTTAGAATTCTGTATAAGAAGAGAGAAGGGCCTTGCCTCTAATCATCGCTTTTTCTTCCATCCTCATCCAGCAGACAAATCAAGAACAGTCTCCTTCATCTCAAAGACTCGAACAACTCTCCAAAGGTCCATACCTCAAGACATCCTCTCTCACGATGAAGTTCTCCATGACTGTCGCCGTCTCGGCGCTCTTCTCCGCCGTCGCCAATGCTGATGGTAAGCTTCCCACCCAATGGCCTCATCTCAAGTCTCCTTGGATACAGCACAGCTCTACTAACACGAGCCAAAGCCGTCCCCTGGGAGAGGCTCAACAAGAACGACTCGATGCTGCTCGTCGTCGACATGCAGGAGGGTCTCTTCAACCTCGCCCGCGACTTCGATCCCACCCTCTACCGCAACTCGATGCTCGCTCACTCCTCCCTGGCCAAGGTCTTTGACCTCCCCGTCGTGCTGACCACCTCCGCCGAGACCGGTACGAGTTCCTCAACCCCTCTTATTGCTTTCAGATTTCTGACAAACAAAATCAACAGGTCCCAACGGCCCCCTCCCCCAGGAGATCCTCGACATGCACCCCACCGCGCCCCTGATCAAGCGCAACGGCGAGGTCGACGCCTGGGACAACGCCGACTTCCGCGACGCCGTCCGCGCCGCCAACAAGTCGCAAATCATCCTCGCCGGCATCACCACGGACGTCTGCACCACCTTCCTCGCCTTGTCGCTCCGCGCCGAGGGCTACTCCGTCTGGGCCAACGTCGAGGCCTCGGGCACCACCACCGAGCTCATCCGCGACGTCTCCAACGACCGCATGGCCGCCGCCGGCGTCCAGGTCGTCTCCCTCTTCTCCATCTCCCTCGACCTCATGCGCGACTGGCGCAACACCCCCGGCGCCCTCGAGCTCTTCTCCTGGCTCGACACCTACTACCCCGCCTACGGATACATTGCCCGCGGGCACCGCGCTGCCGTCAACAACGGTTCCGTTTCTGCGGCTCAGGAGACTCTGCCTTTGTAGGACAGAAGCGGAGTAAAAAGTTGGGTGTTCTCTGGGTTGAGAATGGGAGGATGGTATGATTCCCGAAAATAATGACTGTGGAAAATCCTGGGTGGTCCCAGGACGCGCGACATGGTTGCATGTACTTCATCTTCTTGTCTCTCGTTGATGAGCCTCCGCGGCTATTATAGAGACTGGCATCTTCCTGGTGTCTTTGATTCGCAACATTTCAGAATGGACTCAAAATGGACATAATAGAGAACTTTTGACTGATCTTAACTCCTACATGGTAGGAAAAAGTGAGAAAAAGCCGCCCGCTCTTGTTCTTGAAGCCGATCATGAAATAGCAAGACATACGGAAGCCGCCCATCGCATACCATTACTTGTGGTGAACTGACTCAGTCTTGTACCAACGGACCGTTTGCAGATCATCCAAAGTAGCCCAGTCCCCCGACTTCCCATATCCCGAATAGGCAAGTCGCGGGCCACCCGGCGCCGAACACACGGGCCAACACGGGGCCGGCCAAGTGGATACCCGCGCCGGGGCCAGATGCAGAACGCAACGTCTTCTTCCGGGGTGTGATGAGTGGGAACCTCGACGCGGCCCGATGAAGCGGTCTACAGGGAGGTCTGTATAAGTGATCAGCGGTGAGCTGCGTGCGGTTCATGTAGGTTTGACAACCGCCGCGGATGCCGGAGGGGAGTTCCCACGCGAGAGTGCTAGGGTCAGAGACCGTATGCGGATGAAGCAGCACCGTTAGGTTTCTCAGTATGCGGGTTGTTGCTTTTGACGGATACGGAGGGGGACGGATGAGGAGATCTCGATGGTTGGCATGTATGCCTCATAAGGGCTGTTCACAGGAGTCTCTGGATTCCGGCTTCACTTTCAGCTCAGGGGTAAATGGCGTTTGCGGATATTGTGCCTGACCGCCATACATGCCTCAGAGCGCCCTACGCATCAAACTTACGGCACCTTCAGGTACAGCCTCATGATAGGACTTCAAAGTAACACGACAACCGCCATCAGTTGCGAGAAACACCAGACGCCGGGGACCAATCCTCGTCACGGCAAGGATTTTCTTTCCAGGCAGTGAACAGAAGAAAAAGCGGTGGCACCACCTGCATCATGCCAACGTTCGTCCAAAAGCAAACGACTTTGAGTGTGGTCGATGCGTAACGCCCTCAACGGCGCCCCATACCTATCTATCCCCATACTTCGTAGACAACACGTCACTCATCGTAGCACAAAAAGCGGATAGCAGTAAGAGAAGCAAAGACCAGAAAAGCCTGACGAGGGGTTCCGTTCCCCTGACGATCCGGCGTACTCGATCGGAGACAACGCAGTGGTGCGTCTGCCAGTTGGCGGCCGTGACAGGGGTCTATTGTCGCAAACAGGACCCCAAGGGCCCAAATTGTCTAGACTGTGAGGTCGTTTGGAATGGATCTGTCTTGTTCTCGCCTTGCTTTTGCTGTCTCGAAATCTAGGTCAGGCTTGTCTTGGGTGATTCTTCTGCCCCCTGGCGGATGTGGGCAATGAGACAGCTGGTGGAGAGCCCGAGAGACAGTTCATTCTCCGATGCCAAGGATCCTCAGACATATACGCAGGATGAGACGCATCGGTCATTTTATGGGCATTTGTATCCGTAATATTGTCATTTGTTCCCAAAATCATTTTGTGATTATATCGAGAGCGGTGAACACGGGTGCCGTATGCAGCCGAGTTGAAGAGGCAAGTATCAATGGATGGATAGAGGGGTGGCAGAACCCAAACCTGAACTCGACAGGGGTGTTTAGTTTCTTTCTAAAGGGATGCGGTTTCAGCTTGCGATGCTTCTGGGCGTTTGCTTTTGCTTCTCGCTTGATTCTCTTTGCTCTTTTTTCTTTTTCTCCCCTTCGGGATGCAAGCTGCACGATCGCGGGCGAATCGGGGAGGCACCCAAGCCGCCCCCCGCCCCTCAACCTTCAGCTTGGGTTGGCACTGGACGTCTGTCACGGTGTCACGGCGGTACAGGTTACACCACACACCACACACGGCAGAGACACACCGCATACCTTATTTCGGATTCCCCATGCCTGCGTAGCCGGTAGCGCACGTAAGGCGAAGTACATGTATCTGGATATCCCTCCTGCAACCCTAACGCGGAGGAACGGGATGGGGGGGCAGCTGTGGGTTGTGGTGTGTGCATTACGGCGCTCACGGCGGCCCGCTATCGGATTTGATGCAGCGGGACATGGGAAAGCGGGCAGCAGACCGGGGGTGGTAGGTAGGAAGAGAGGTGAAGCCCTGAGAGGGTGCCGGCGCATGCAGCGATAATCAAGAAATCTGCATCTGGCTTGCATGAGTGCGCATGAGGAAGGGAAATCGCGGTGTGCAAGATGCAGAGTAGGTCTGCGACCGACGGAAACCTTCTTCTTTTCGCATCCACCGCATCACCGATCATTTCCCATGGGTGAGTCACAGACTGATGAAGGGAAGAGAGATGTGATTGCGACGCGCACGCAACAAACGGGATGAGACGAGTAGGCAGACAGTTTGATATCCAAACGGTGATGGTGAACTGGATTGGCCATCACACTATCCAATACAGAACTCACCCAACAGACGACGAGCATCACGAAACTTGAGCGATGCGCCGGACGGTGATTGGAGCGCGGCCCCTCGCACGCGCCCGACCAGTCAGGTCCCGAGCGCCGGCCATGGGACGCGGTCACCCAGACACTTTGCTTGTGTTGCACACCAGTATTTGAACTTTGCGAGTGCTATTGGCATCCGTCAACTGTGATGAAGTGTGTGATGTGATGGGGACGCGCCCGACTGATTTCACGTCGCGTTCCAGAGATGAGTATTGTCAACTTGGATTGTCATCTGCACTTTGACCGTGGGGGAGGGGTTATTCGTGGTAAGAGGTGATGGTGGGATGAGTATCGCGAATCGCGGCGAAGTCATTTTGGATGATTCTCTCATTACGATGCTCTGTGACTGTCTGGATGGGTGGATGCGATTTTCGGAGCAAAGGCCGTCGAGAATAAGGCGGTATCTCGACATGACGCCGAGGGGTGTGCTGTGTGCGATGCCCACGTTGCTTAGATTGGGCTCCAAAGTGATTGGTATCTTCACCTCAACATACCTTAACTATGAGCTGACCAAATGGTTGTCGTGTAAGGCGGTTGTGAGGGGAGGGGTAAGATGGAGGTGCTCGTCACTCCGGAGCCAGGCTCCGGAGGGGTAGACAACCTACGCAGTAAGGCCTGGAACACACGATATGCTCAGGATCGCCCATCTCCCGACAGCGGACCAAAGCGTCTAGAGTACGGTATTACCGCTACAGACACCGCTCAGTGCCCAGCGACCGCTGCCACCTGAAGCACGCAACTGCGTGGCAGCGTGGTAGGCAAGGCAGAAGCAGGCTGGACACCTGCGAGATGCTGCCCGCCGCTGCTCGGCGGCCGTGGCCGGCACCCAGACCCAGGCCCGTGGGGTTTCGTCCCGGGGGTGTATGCTTTTGTTTTCCTGCACCTCTTGATTTTTTCTGTAAATTCTGTAATCTCGCAAGCGTTGGGATCGACGAGACACTGCGGTCGCGCAGAGATTCCCCGAGTTGCCCCGGGTGGATTCCAACACTCCCAAGACCGCTCCAGGCCCTGTTCACTCTGTCAGTTGTCATATTTCTTGCAGATACTGCAGGTCTTCTTTTCTTTCTTGTCTCTCTTGTTCAAATTTGGATGCTATTCCTGCCCGATCAATCTCCCCCTTTGCGTTGCCCTGCAGCACACGCCACACCCCTCAAGATCCAAAGAGAGGTCCCAAGGCATGCAGCATTTCGACCCTGATGGGGTGTTTGGCATATGGCGGTGACGATGATGTAACTTGTAGGTGGAAGAAAGGGCCTGGGCTTTTGGGAGGGGCGGGGGGCCCGCAAGCCGCAGCCGCCGTTGGGAGAAGAAATCATGAATAGCAAGAAAAAAACAGGCGTATGCAGCCACAGGAGCAAGCTCTGACGAACGACTCTTCCGATCAAGATTTTTCTTGCAAGAATTGCCAATATTGGGTTGTTCGATACGAGGGGGCTTTACCGCCTCCGGGCTTCGGTGGCAGAATACATACAGACCTACGTAAGGCAGGTTGGCGGTAAGGTAAGGTATCAGACAGAGGAGGGGTGGTGGTCAACAAACGCATCACATCACCCAACAACAACACACAACACACAACCACCAAAAACACCAAACCCCCACGCTCATTCTCCCCACCGCCGTCTCGTCGGTGAAGGAAACAGTCAGTGACAACGAAACCCCCACCAGCACAGCCAGCACTCTCGCTCAAAGACGTCGCGAACGAATGGCGCGCCCACGCGCGGGCTTGGTATGTATCCGCATCTTATCGTAGTCAGTGGTCCAACGGAACCCCCCTCGCCCGGACGGACCTCTGCTTGGGGCGCCGGGGCTTACGGGGGGATTCGCATCGCGAAAGAACAGACGTTTGCTGTTCAATCCTCTGCGCCTCTTTACACTACCACCCCCAAACACACCCAGATATCAAAAATAAACGTAAGGGCGTTTGTTGCGCTTGCGGACGGAAAGGCACGGGATCCTCGAGCGCAAAAATCCGTGCAGAGGATCTTCAGCTCAGCCCAGCTCACCCCCTCTCTATCTTTCCCCTCCGCTATCAGGGGGGGGAGAGACGGAAGAGGCGTCGCTGGCTTTTCTTCGTTTGTTTGAAGTGTAGGCGTGGTGGTGCCACCGCCATCCATCCATTTTAAGGTGTTCCAGCGACAAAGGTTTGAAAATAGCAATGCCAACCAACAGGATGACAGCATACGAGAAGCTTCATCCGTGATGGGAGTGTCACCGTACACTTACAGATACGAAGCTGCGCGGTGAGATAAGCCCGGTCCGTATCGGTGCCGGACGCCGGTGGTACCTCAAACCCCACGCGCACCACTCACCGTAAATGTCTTGCTCGGGCATGGATGTCGGGGTGGTATCTCGTATCTTATCTCGGAAAGGCCCGAGAGCTGCCAGAGCTGCGATAAGAGGTGCGGTAACGGCGAATAAAGTGATCTCGACGTTTTGGTAGCGGTCGATCCGTTTAGACTGAACTGAACCTGCCGTTTCGGGCAAATTTACTACGACCCTACGACTCTGCGACCCCTCAACGGCCACGTTTTGTCCGGGAAGTTTGACAACACGGTTTACCGGGGGGCCATCCGTCAATCGTGCATGCGCTTCCTGCTGGTGCTTGCGTAGGCGGAGAAAGAAAACGGCGGATACGGATACTCTCTTTTTGAGTTTCCCGCTTTGAGGTCTTGGCAACTGAAGAATGCGGATGAACCGTTCCGTCCAATGCTCAAGCTCTTTGGGGAGGGGTTTCTTACGGATACGGGTTCCATCCAGGCTTGGGTCTGGAGACTCGTAGACAGACACCGCGGTCCAGTTCTTTTCTTCCTCTCGCTTGTGCTTGTGCTTGTAGCAGATCACTGGGCTCCTCCCAAACGCCAAACGGAACCCGTCCCGAAACCATTGATCGGACGGCAGAGGGGTCTCCGAGAGCGAAACGAAGGAGCCCAAACGATGGATGTGCAACTTTTGGTTGGATCGAGGAAACACAGAATGTTTGCTCCGTCGGCTTGTCTTGCACCTTTCGTCTCTGATTGTTCTTTGTTCCCACTCATTGCTGGGCTGAGATATAGGTCACCCCCGAGGAACAGGTAGTTGGCATGTAAGGTAGGCAAAGAAAGGAATACAACACAGCTGAACCCGGTTCGTCTTTGAGCTGTATCCAGAGGCGGGGTTGATGTCACACGGGAAGTTGCAGACGGCGTCAGAGTTGGTCGCCGGGTTTACGTTCAGCCAACCAACCAAACCAACAGGAACAGCGACGTATGATACCGATTGGGGAATCCTGCCCGGTGTGTGTCGGTGTAACGGAACTACACAACTTGTGTGTGGCTTGAACGCCTCGGGTTTCAGACCCGGGCAACCAACAGCCGTCAACCAATCCGCCGTCCCGGTTTTCCCCAGGTTTGGCCATCCTTTGAGATCCAAGCCAAGTTTTTTTGCGCGCTCTCTGAATAGCGTACACTAGTCAGTCTCCCGAAAAAGAACGTCAGTTCCCTTGGGGCCAGTGCTTCAGGATGACGGCGGAACGACGATAGAAGCGTGGTTTAGTGCGAGAAGCAAAAAAGTTCTGTGCGGGTGGCCAATTCGCGTGGCATGCCTTGTGGGATCGCACGCCCCCACATGCTAGAATCTTGATTCTAGTGTGTAATACTGAGTCTCTATATTGCCAGAAATTGTCAACTTTGAAGATACCCACGTTTGCCGGCCGGGAAAAGAGACAAAATTGAGGGTCGTTTGATATCTCGACAAAAGAAGGAGGGGGCGTGTTGAAAATTTTGAACAGAAATTTCATCGTTGTATGAAGGGCCCTGGATGATGGAACGGGAAAAGGGACGATCAAAATTGTTCATCATGTCAAAAGACTGAAGTCATAGTTGACGTCGAAGCTGCAGTTCGGGGAATAACTGATTCAGGTGTTCGCGTTGCGTCCCTGGAATTCACAAGCTTTTGGTGATGATTGCGCTTGAGAATGCCCTTTCGGACGACTTGCCCACCTCGTCCAAGGTTCTTCTGGAAAACGACAGTAAGAAAGAGGTTGTGGTTGGGTTGCGCCACACGCGATTCATGAGCCACCCGAACTCGAGAGACCCCGGAGAAAAGGCCGCGACGTGAGAAGAGAGGTGTGTGCGTCGGAGACTCTCCGACTACCACTTTGACTTTGACCTACGAGAAAGTAGGTGTCTCCACGACTCGAGTTTACCGAAACGACACCGAGACGAGGATTACGCGGTACCGCGGTCTCGACGCGCAAAGTGCTTTGAGTGCCAAACCAGACGGCTGGGCTTGGGGGGAAACCAGAAGTGGAGCAGTCCCGGCATCTTCGACCACTTGGATGAATTTCTCCAAGGCGGAGAAACTCTGGCAGCACTTTAGAAGCCACATGGAAGAATTTTCCCTGCAAAGGAATTTTCTTTTCGGACCGGGGGTGTGTTGCGGAGAGAGACTCCGAGAGAGGGAGGGGAGGTTAGAGAGCTTTTCCTTCTGAACCGTTCGTTTGTCACCAATCAAACTCGCCGTAATGCCGAAGAAGAGCCTCGGAAAAGCGGAGCATCTAGTCAAAGAAGGGCCTTCTTTTGCTTTAGCTATTGGGGTGTCTTTTGTTGAAGCATCTAAAGCTTCGAGAAGGCGGGTGTTGAAGCTTACGACGGGGAATGATTCGGCGGGAAGAGAAGCACCGAGACCAAAAGAGAGGCGCCGAACGCAGCGGGTGAATGGATACCGCTTGTCAGAATTTTTTCTGCATATGGGGGTCGAGATGGGATCTTGAGAAAAGTTGAGAGGCAGGGAGAGTAGACAGGGTCTTTTTGCTAGACACTGTTGATGTCTGTCAAAAGGACCGTTGGGTAAAAGTTACCTACAAGCCTACCTAGTCCTACTCATTCTCCTTCCGCATTCTTCGAGAATTCCAACGAGACTTCATCCATTTGGTTAATGAGACTCCCTCTTCTCTCTACACTAGCAAGCAGACCTGGCAGAAAAAGCTTCCAGAGCTTCCTAAAGTGCTCCATATCTCTTCTTTTCCCAAATTTCCCCTCTTCCTAAAGTCAAGCTAAGAGTAATCCCGCCGCTGATAACCCGCGAGACCCTCTTTTTCCAATGTGGACTTTTCATCTGGCAGAATTTTGCACCGAAGAGGAGCTCCAGTCTCCATGATTGCTGACTCCACCGCCCATGAGGCGTCCATGACAAAACAGGCAAGTGCGCAGAGACCGGAAAAGGTCTAGAGCCCTCTCCAGACCCCGGGAGCGATCGTCCCGTCGTCGGTGTCGGTGGGGAACTGAGGGAAGAGAAGAGGAGTGGGAGAGATTTGACACGTTGGGATTCGCCGGGGCATCCCGTTTGCTCCCGAAATTTGCCAATCACCTTTTCCCGTTACGACTCCAAGAGCTCCGCTTCAGACTCTCCAAGGCCCCAATCTAAGGGCAGGGGGGGTGGTGTTTGGATAAATGGTGAAGCCCCCCGTCAAACCGCAAGAACGAGGTCCAGGCGCCGGGAACCCATCCCGGTGCAGGGACCCTTCCATCAGGACTCCACCGTTCCCAGGTTTTGGCTGATTGCCAACGCCATGCTCTCCGGTACTCTGCCACTCTGCCACGCTTTTCCACTGGAGTTTGCTTGGGTCCAGGAACCCAAGGAGCGGGGACTGGGAGAGGAGGAGCCGAGAAAAGACAAGAGGAGCAAACCCACCCGTCCAGGCTATGGCTCTCCTCTTTAGCCCGTTGGATGAGGGATCGTTGCAGAGTCTTCTCGCTGGAACCCGAGCCGACGGTTAAAGGGGGGCGTCTACGGATGTTGTCCGCGCCGCCGTTCAATACTGTCCTTTTTCGCTTTGCTGCTCTGGGATGATCGGAATTGGGAGACGAGAGAGAGCCGCGCCGCCACCTCGACATTGCGGGACCGCGGTGTGCACAATTCCGCAATCGCGGCAAGGGATTTTTCCAAGGGTCCTGTTCCTCGCGGCCGTAAAGACGGACTATGTTGATCTAGAGTTCTAAACGGAATGCATCGGGCCCCGGTTTATTACTGAGAAAGGTAAGCAGCTTTGCCTATCTGGATGTCGATTATCCCAACCAATCGTATCGTCTCCATTCAAATAAGTTGGGACAAGAGTTACCCCGCGACTAACGGAGCTGGTCCGCTGGTCTTATCTGCATTGCAGCGAGCGTAATCGCACGCAATGCGGGGAGGGTCCTGTCCTGTCCTCCTCTCCCGACCTCACCCGCATTATAAGCAGCCCTATCACTTATGTCGGGAGTAGCTTTCACGATAACCGGTAATAAAGCCTAGCATGACTTGGGTTGAGCGCTTCAACGAGAATCCGCGGATTGCGGAGCCGCAAGCGCAAGGAGGGTAATCATGTCCGGTTTCGCAGAGGGACGCAAGCCATTTCGGAGCCTTTCTTGGAATGGCCAGCTCCCTTCCAGATGGTCGGCGTCCTCACCTCCGCGGGTTATCACTGAGGGGGTGTCGAGACATCAGTCTTGGGGTCGGTCTCGATGAGATCAGATCAGATCATGAAGAATTCAAATTGTCGATTATTCTGACTCTGTCCCGTTGACGACATCGTACGCAGATTGTCTTTCGACGAGAAGATCCCAAAAGGTGTGGCTGAACCCGTTAAGAAAAACGCAGTAAAGATCTCTCAAGATCTTCCCCCCTCACGCCATAATCTGCGTTTCCCCCATCTTGCCAATCTCGGGTGTCAAATCTCAAGATCAACCCCTCGTGATGCCGACAAAGCAAGTGACTCACTCAATAACCCCCGAGGTCATGAACATGACAATTACGAACATCTATAGGGATCCGACCATCTTGCATCTTGTCTACACCCCTCCCCCTTCCCCATCCCCAAAACTCCTCCGCGCCCCGGGGCCGAGTCCGAAAGATTCCGTCCCCCGGTGGTGAGGAAGTGGACCATCGTGCGTCTTACCCGACTCTCCGCATCTCACCCGTAGGGCCGCAGGAAGTCAGGAGCATATACCGTCATCGAGCCAAGGCATTGCAATCTATACAGCTTGAACTCAAACCCCAGACTTTACTGCTGCTGCTCCCTCCTCCTTCCAAGTTTCCCCGGCGCCTCGGTATGCCGCGTCTACAGCGCGTCACAGTCGTTCCTTGGCTTCCCGAAACAGAGCGAAAAGGAACCGAACGTCACTGAACTCTACGTATACCGGTCGAAGAAAACATCCCGCGGCACAGCAGTACCCCAAATCCCAACCTTTCAAGCAAAACCGGAAAGTTGGTTCCTCGGCTTCCTCAAAGCCAAGGTAAGAACCTCCCGAGAAGCGGTAGCTAGTTCGAGGCCTTCAGCTACTCTCTCTATTCAACTCCCCCGCTGATCCAAACCCCCGGATCTCCGATCCATCCCGATCCTTCGTCAAACTCCATCCCTCAAAGTGTCCGTAGTCAAAGAAAGAAACCTGCCTGTGCCTGTTCGTATTAGCGGCATCCAGTTCCTCCAAGCACCACCGAGCAGATACTCCGTACGCAAACAGGGTCAAAGCCAAGCGCCTCCCCGCAAGGGTCCTTGTGAACCTTTTTGCCGCGGTCGGTGTCGGCGTCGGTGGTCGAAAGGCCGCCTGCTAAAGACAGCGAGTGCCGAGGCTCGTGGCTTTTCTGTTCGTGGGGAACCGACGCCACAATCGAGGCCGCCTGCTTGCTAAGCCACAGACAGACACCCCCAGAAAAACCTTACCTAAGCCTCGGATACACTTACGGGGTAGACGCGCACGCCACAACACACGCGCTCGCCCCGTATCCAAACACAGCTCACCCAAAACGGTCCAAAGACCCGAAGATTGCAATGGAGACACGCAATCCAGACATCGATCTCGGTAAAATTTACAGCCCTCTTCCCTTTCCCTGTGTCCCCCCCATAGCAAAACACCCAAGAATAGAGATGACTTTTGGGTCTCCTCACTCTGGAACCTCCCTCTGGCCCGGGTCCTTGGGAAATTCGTAATGCGCCGAACAGAGTCCCCCAGGGCCTGGAACCAATATCTGGGGTGGAATCAAGTGAGGCTGTGTCTTTCGGATGGAGCAAACGGCATGACGGGGTCTGTGTCTTCCAACTAAATCCCTCTTGCCAAGTTGCCAGCAGCGCATATCCCAGGGCTTACAAGCTCCATACCCGCAAAAGTTCAAGCGGATAGACCACCCGCCGGGAATTCTCAACGGGAATTGCTGCTTGGAACTCGAGACTTTGAATGATTACCTAAGGCAAAAGGTACTGACAGGGGTGCATCTCCCGACGGTTCCCGACCGTTTTCGCGAGGGCCTCTTGTTGTTATCCCATATTGCCAGCCAGACTTCACAGTGTAGGGCAGTCACAAGCCGCAACACCGTCGGCTCTGCCTCCGTCTCTCCCCCAACCAGGCCGAGACCCCCCAACACACTTTTGGCTGGCGGGTTGGCACAATACCGGTACTGCTCGCAAAGTTCCGAAAAGCCAGCGAGACAATACGATATTAATGACGACACGATTTTTGTGGCTAGAACAACCTCAAGTCCACAACACACAACAAAACTCACAAAAGCAGAGAGAGAACAAAAACAGGGTAATCCTTCAGCCCCCGACCGACCGGTCAGCGCCATCCACTCTACCAGTCCCAGTCCCAGTCCCAGTTTCCAGTTCCAGTTCCTCAGCTCCCACAATAGTTCCCCAATATTGATTCCAGACCCGCGGTTGGACTTTGTCAGCGACCGAATGCAAGTGAGGCAAGCAGCAAACCCTACAAGCCACACACACAGTCCAACCAGCGCGCGGCACTCCGTAGACATCAACAACCGCTGAATCTAGGCAGGTCAGAGTGCCACATGCTTACGTTAGCTCGTAAAAAGTATGACTCTACGGTTGTGATTCTGCATGCCGGAACGGAATTTACGGAATGACTCTGACATTTTTCCTGATTTCAAATGCTGTTACGCCTCGATGCACGAACGCACCTGTCATGAGCAAATGCATCCTATAGCGACGAGAAGGCGATGCATGCCTGAGTCACAGGGTTACAAATCACTAGGAAGCGAATAGATGAATGCAGATATCTTGTGATGTAGAATAGAATCAAATGTTGATGTCGCGCGTGGCGAAGGGTATCTCGTACTAAATACTAACTAACTAACTAATGCGAAGCCTCGTGTGGGCAAAATGGTGTTCCTATGCTTAAGTCCCCGATGATGCGGATGCAAAGTCCTGTAAAAATGTGCTGTGATGCCATGCTGCCCCCAATAACCCAAAAGTCGATCCGTTGATCGATGTGAAAAAACAAACTCCATGCGACAAATACTAGCTGGGCTACCTCGGTGGGCCACAGCAAAGGGGGGTATCAACATGAAAAGACAATGAGAAAAAGCAGTAAACAGGGTGATGCAAGGCATGTGAAATGCCAGTGCCCAAATGATGAGTCCACGAGGACCAGGTATCGATTGCAACGTAACGAGGCAGCCGACCTGTAAGTCCTCTCACCTGCCACACCAGCCATTGCCGGGTGACTCTTGTTCGGTGGGTGGCCGATACCGCCGGGCGTGCGCGAGTGTGGCTGAGACACACTGCTGTAGGCTGGCCCCCCCACGATCGGCCTTGCTTGTGCTCCCCCACACGGCGTTCCGAGTCGCCCCGTGCAGTGATGAGCAAGCCGGAAGCTGGATGATCGGTTGCAAGCTTGTGATGGAAATCAGGCCGCGTTGCACACGAGGCCGAGGCCAAGGTGGTTGAATTGCCAGAGGCGTGTTTGTGTTCGAAGACCAGAGACCTGGACCGTCGGAGCATATTGGATGTTCCAGGTCAGAGGCGGTCCTGGTTTGGTCTTGTGCTGGCGCCATGCTGAAGAGGCTGCCGATATTATGGATTAGGGTTTGTCGAGACTGAGGAGGTGTGCCGGCGAGCTAGAGTATGCTCGTCCGAACAATAGATGTTTGCGCATTGCCACATGCCAAGTAGTAGAGAGAGCTTGCAGCTTTATCGTGGAAAGCTCTCACTCGGCGATGGGAGTCATGGAGGCGAGCTTGTTCTTGGGGCTCTTCTTGGAGCTGCCGCGGCGTTGCGACTTCTTTTGCTGGAGAGCTGCTTGGCGACGACGTTCCTTCTCGGCCATGACGCAACGAAGGGCCTCGCGCTGCATAGCCATGCGCTCGCGTTCCATCTGGAGAAGCTCAACCTCGGAAATCTGGGGAGAGCGGGAGTTGGGCGATGAGAAGCTGCCGTGGCTGGAAACGCTGTGGGAGTCGTCCTCGAAATCCTGGGGGAAGAGGTCCTCGTCGGAAAGGTAAGAGGTGGCTCTGGGCTCGCCGTCAAAGTCGGCGAGGGTATCGCGGCGTGGCCAAGAAGGGAAGGCGCACGACCGGTCGTGGGCGAGCATGTTGCTGGGAGAGATATCGATGGGGGCGGTCATGGAGACGGAGCCCATGGAGCTGTATGAACCGTATGAGCCGTACATGGCTGCGATGTGTAGAGTGATGTTGAGTGTTGAAAGGTCTTGTTCGTATAAGACTTCAGAGTTGTGGATATTGTTGTTGATTATCACGATCAGGAAGAGTGTGGGAGAAGGTGGACACGGGAGACTTATAAGTCCCAAGGGGCGCGTCTGCCTTCCTCTGGTTTTCTGGGGGTGTGTAGGGGGGGCGTGTTGTGGGTGTTGGGGGTGTGTGAGAAAAGGGGGTGAGAGTCAACAGGAGGTGCAAGGTTGGGCAGAGCAACGTTCCGAGGAATTTCGGAGAGTGGACCTAGGCCTTTGGCAAGCCTAAAAGATGGGGGTAACTGCTTTCCCGGTATCCCGAGGGGGTGGGAAAACAAGGCAAGGGAGGCGGTGACGGAGATGGAAAGTCCAGGTCGGAAGGAAGGGGGGTGTAAATGTGAGTGCTGACAGCGCAGGGGGTGCGGTACCGGTAAAGGCCCCAGAAGGAAAGAGCTGAAGGTGTTGGGCTTGGGCGGAAAGCGGTTGCAGTTGTCGGCAAGGAGGGGGGTGAGCAAGGGGGTGTATACAAGGACGGTAAGATGAAAAGGGAAAGAAGAAAGGACAAATGTCGGCGACAGGGCTGGCGGTCGCGCGGGAGGAAGACCGTATTCCCAATCCTTGGTACCCTTCAGGCTCAGGCTCAGGCTGGCTGGTTAATTACCTGCTTCTGGTGATTCAGAGTTGGACCGCGGGCCTGGGCTTGGTGACTATTCTCGACGTGGCGTTGCCGAGGAGCTGCTGAGAGTGCTGCTGTCCGAACTATGGAGTCTCGTACCGGTATTTCGTAGTCGTCGTCGGCACCGCGGTACGGAGTACAGTACAGCCAGTACAGCGGGATTGTATAGGTTCGGATAGAGAGGACGGTGGATGACAAGAACGGAATATTGGAAATCCTGCTTTTGGCCTCTTTCTCTCGGTGATGACTTTTGTCCGTGTTTGTACTGCACCCGAGTAAGTCGGAGGGGCTGGGTTGACTCTTGCCTGCAGCTGCGCGTATCTATCTGTGTATACGAACGGGAGTAGCAGTGTGTGGGTGGTGTCTTTCGGCGTGGGCGGGAAGTGTTGCTGCTGATGGTGTTGTTGGTTATGATGACGCCGGCGCTGGCTTGCGATGACGCTTGTTATTGCTGGTTGCTGATGGTTGTTTGGTGTACTTGGTGTTGCTTTTACCGCCACTGTATGGTCGAAACACCGAGATGACTCGAACACAGGCAGAAAGAGTCATGATATATACAACTATACCAGAGTACGGTGTTACATCATGTATAGAGTATCAGTATTGCTTCAATAGTACCTTTTCTGGCATTGTGTCAACTATCAAATGTGAGAAACATCATGGCGCAAACAAAGCTGAATCGCAATCGCCGCTCGAGTGCCGCGGGGAATGTTCCCATGGGGCAACGGGAATGGAGTTGCGAACGGACGGGCCTGGCTCCGTAGGCGCAAGCGGTCTCGAAGACTCCGACTGGTCCCCAGCCCAGCTGTGTCTACTAGTTATTCGTACTATAACTAAGTCTACCTACGGATACATACGATCGATACGCAAGGGAGTCGGAGACAGAGCCGGCGATTCCATTCCAGCTGCCATCCCCAATCCAGATATCATCAAATTCAGAGTTTCTGACTCTGCATCGGGTCTATCCAGGCTGCTTTCCGTCTCTTGGTGCCTCGGTGTCTCGCATCCTTCAATTGTGATTGTCGACGGCCCCTGTCGGTGCGATTGTGCCGCTTGCCCACCCCCACGATGCAGCAGTGACAAACACGAGGCCGGCACCCCCTACTGTGATACTGAGGCCGACCTAGAACGGGAGGGAGAGACACCGGCGGTATTGGCGATGATTGTGTGTGATGAGAGGCAGGGGTTTGAAGAGGAAGACTGGACGCCGAGCGACGATACGGAAGAGGCCCGCAGACCGCCGACGGGGAAGCGGCGGGAGCTGTCTGCCTGTCTCACAGCGCACATCTTAGTAGGAGCATCGATTTGGCGATATCGACAGGCCAACAGCGGCAGAGCGGCAGCCAACCAGCCAAAAAGCAAAGAAAACGGAAAATGAATGAGCGGTGTTTGACCGCCTTGTCGGAAGGGGGTGAGGGTGTGAGTCTGTGTCGGGAATCATTGGTCGCGAGAAGAGGGCACTTGTCTACCTTACCTACACCGTAACAGGGGAAGAGTCATGATCCAGAAGTACCTCTGCACCCACTTCGGGCAGCAAAGATACTTGCAAGGGACCAAGAGAGTTTTGCCAAAAGCTGGTAATCCGCGGGGGCCAGAACGGATGGGCAAAATGCAGGGCATGTTGAGAGCTGGAGCGTTGGAGTTTGGCTCTCAGGCCCTCTAGGCGGTTCGCTAGGGACTTGTCCCCGGTGCTATCAGCAGCAATCACTGCTAATCGCTACCCCATTCGAGGCCCGACAGCGGCATGAGGCGGGGGCCCTGGGGGGGCCTGTGGCCTGGGGCCAGCCGTTTGAACACCCCTCGCGGGCAGGCTGGCTGGGGATCGCCCTTTCCTTCTGTCTGGCCCTGTCGCCTTGGGGCCGACCGTTCAATTCAGTGTTCTGGCCGGGGGGTCTTTTTCTGCCTGCCCTGTCCCGCGCCCTTTCTTCTTGCGTGCCCCTGCCCCCGCGGAAGGCAGTCTGGGCTGCCCCGGGCCTCGGGCGAGCCCAAAGAACTGGCACGGGCAGGAACCTGAAGAAAGCAGGTACCTTCCTCCACAGCAGAGGTTAGAACGGCAGGAAGGTACTTTCCTCCTGCCCAGACGGGCGAGACTCGAGAGAGACGGGAAGGAGAGACCTCGGTGCGCTCGGTGCTTCTCCGTCCAGACTTTTTGCGCCGTCTCAAACGGCGGGGGGAGGGCAGAAGGCATTTCTCTCGCTGCATCGGATTTACCCGTCACCCATCTGCCAATCTGGTCTCTACGGAGTACAGTTAGTTACTTAGGTTTTCAACTCAACACGCGCTACCGCTTCAACCTCTGATTGGACAAACCCCCCTCAAATCGTCAATCGCTCGCTGAATCTCTACAACTTTGACCGAGAATTCGAGTCACAGAAGCGGCCTATCGCATCCGTTTGATTTTGATATTGACATTTCCACTCGCCATCGATCGTTGTCGAGTGCCAGTCAGTTACACACATAGCATACACCCCCTTGGCTGCTTTTTCTGCTTCATTAACCGACTCATCGCATCAAGCAGAACATCTCACCCCCTCATTCTTGTTAGATTGTCGGGTCCCAGCTGCGAATGTGAATCTCCATGCGCCTCGATAGGCTGGAAGCCCCTCCTGGGGAAGCCAAGGATGAGGGGAAGAATCAAAGCAATGCCTAAATGAGCGCCCGCGATTGACTGAATGCATTCGGGGAACTACAGGAAGCACACCGACTTACCGCATGCTTTTTGACTTACAACGCCTCACCGCCGCCAGGGCCCTGCCACCTTTGATGCCGCCCAGCGATGGTGGACGTCCGATCTTGTTCTTGTTCCAGCGACGACAATACCTGCCTAATTACGGCGTACCTTGCCCGGTAAGGTCCAGATGCTGCCAATACCAGATTGCATGCACCTCAGGTTGAGGCCTTGTACCTCCATCTGTACAACACCACAACGACAGCAAGCCACATCACCAACACCAACGCCAACAAATATCGGGAGCCAAGAGGACGAAACATTGAAACGAGATGTGCCAGCAAATCTGCCGTGGCTGCATCCAGCACATCCTCATCAATCCCACCGCCTAGGTACCTCCCCTTCCCCAGGGCTGATGCTGATGGTTCTCTGGGCGCATCGCATCGCATTGCATCCGCGCCCATCCCGCTCCAGTGACAGACGAGAACGGCCACGACGGAAACTCAACTAGGAACTTCCGTATTGATCTTTTACCCAAACTTTACCAATTTGCCCGTACATGGCATGGACACCAAAAGAGAGACCAAAAAGCAAACTAGGGCCACCAGCCAGAACGGCCATTTCCGGACCCCCGGGCTCGCTCACGGCCGTTGTTTCTTTTCTTTCCAGGTTCCTGTCCATCACTTTTCACTTCCCGGCTGTCCAATTGCTTCTCGGCCGGCAAGCTGCTGCTTGGGGGGGCCCAATCCACTGGCCCGGTTCGAGATCCCCGGTCTCAGAAATTCCGTCAACTATCACCAACTGGCATCAGATCGTTTCTTTTCCGTCAATTTGGAAGAGTTTTTCTCATCTTTTCCTTGCACTGCTTGCAGTGCTCGCTGGGGGTCCTGGAAGTCTTGGGCTTCCCTCTCATTTCCGGCCCTGTTCCCTGTCGGCTTGTTGGGCTCGGTGCCTATTATCGCGACGGTTCGACCCCAGCTTTTTCGTCCACCCTTCCCGCTTGCCCAGCCTCTCCCGTCATGACCCTAGGCATCTCATCTTAAAAATATGGGAAAATTCCCACGAGGCGTACGGATACAGCTGCAAGCCTGCAAATCCCAGGTGCCCGGAGTCAGTTTGGAAGCCATGGCCATGTTGACGAGGTTGACGAGGTTGGCGGGCTGGCCAGGGCAGGGCGAGGCGAGGCGAAATGGAAAGAAGACATGGATCCTTCGTCATTTGCGGCGCTTCTTCTTTCATCCGCCAGGAGTCGGGGCTCAATTTCCAGAAACACACGGAGGCGCTTCCGTACATCATACAGAGTGTTGGCAGAGTTACAGATGTATCATCGTCTCATTCGGTAACACGCAAAGTGACAGCCAACACCCATCATCCCCGGCCGGCAAGCCAGTTCCATCTACTCCGTACGGATATAGACTAATTACAGAACACTCAATACTTACACCAAACTATCCATGGATACGAATCGTTGGTGTCTATACGGACGTGACGGAGTACGGATACACCAAGTTACCAACAAGGTTGTGTGAGTTGGATGATTCAGAGCAATCACTCGCGGGAATGCAACTGGTCTAGATGGATGGTCCCCGGATGCGACGCCGCGATGCCCCGACGATGCGGTTGGTTGTCGATTGGAATTCCGTTGGATGCCCGAATTTCCTCCATTCCTCTCCAGACAACCACCGACATCACCAACAAGCCCAAAGTCCCAACCCTGACCACCACCATCACCCGTTCCAACAAGCGAGAAACCCCCCGAGCGAACGCGCAACACAACCCGGAACCGCAACCGCATCCGCATTCAAACGAAATGCGACGACAACCACCAACTTACGAATACACCCGTTCGTGGGTGGATGGCTGGATGGATGGATGGATGGATGGATGGTGTGCCTTGCTCAGCTTGCTTCTGACTGTGCTGCCGCTGACTAGTAGCTACCATGCTCCCCCAACATCCAATGTTTCCGAACCGCAGAACTGACACCTAAGACGTCCAACCTAATTCCTATTCCAGACGCAATACGACTCAAACAACGGGTATATTACACATGCACTCACACACACCAGGGAAGGCGGTGACAAGGCGCATACCGATAATTCAGACCGCCCTGTCTCTACCGTGTACAGCACACCGAACAGGCTTACCGCCTGGTTATCGCTTCTGCTCCCTGCCTGTAAGATACAACTTGCCTGCCTATTCAGAAAGCAACACACCGGCGACTTGTCATTCGTGCCTTTTTCAAATGCTCGTTACCGTCGCGAATCAATACGGCCGTGCTGACTGGGCTCTGGCTCAGCCCGCGGCGAATGCTTTCCCGGCCTGAGTCAGACTGGGGGTGGCGCATTCGTGATTCCATTCCATTTACAATGACCTTCGGATACGTATTGATACTCAGTTTAAGTCTGTACACGGCGGTACCACCCACCTTTGTTTCCCCGGATCGTCCAAGCTGTAGTTGCGGCGGCGGTGGTGGTGGTGGTTTGTGGAGGGTGTGTATGTGTGTGTCGCCAGCCTTGGGATGAGAATAGTCAGGCCAAATGAACCCCTTTGTCAGTGACTCAGGGCCTGGGTTGTTGATTGATTGCTGACCCGAGTGACCTCACCTAAGAATAGGGTACGGATGGGCAAGGAAAAGCCGTTACGTTGCGCAGCGGAGGAACCTGTAAGTTTGTGTTCCTCCGCTTCCACATCCCTCATTCTTGTTGGTCGCACAAACGAAGAAACGGCGAGATCGTATTGGGTCTCGAACGCGAGTTTGCGACGGGCGGGAGAGGAGAGGGGCCCCTCTTCCGCGAATAAGCCATCTTCATCACCGTTTGCGTCGTCAGCATTCAGCAACGACAACGGATTTGTCGCAGCCCATTTTCGAATGAGATGGCAGAGGCGGCAACTCGCTATATGAGTGGTCCCCGCCATCAACGGCAGAGTCTCGTCCCGAATTCGGGGTTGTGCCACACCGCAGGGCATCCCGTTCCTGGACCTGCCAATTGTGCCCTTGCCTTGGCTTTGTAAAAGGGCGGCGGGAATGTATCCCGCAGGCACGCAAGGGGGTGTGAGAGAGCGATAGATGCTAGATCAACCTTCAACCACCAGCTGGGCAAGCATTTCCAGATATCCGAGCATACAGCGAGCTAACACGCAAGGGGAAACCCTCTTCGGCAATTCAAAAAGCTGAAGGCGGTCATGGCCCATGGACCTATCGAGACTGGCTGACAACTTAATTCCAAGACAGACAAGATGGACAGCGATCGTTCTGGACTTGGTCGCGGCAGGCAACATTCTTTAGAGTTTTGCATATTCCCTGCCCATCGATTGCCCTGATTTTCTATTTCGTCCAGTGTCTGGCAATGACTCCAACGAGTAACTTGTGAAACAAGCTCGACGACGACAAATGCCACCGCAGCAGCAGTAGCAGCGGCAGCACATGCCTGACGGGCGAGCGGCGGCGCGGTTGCAATCGAGTCGCATCCGGTCCGTGCCAACTACGGAACTTACTCGACGATCAACACCAAGCGGTAGGTAGCCGAGGCGGTAGCACCAATAGGTCGAAAGGAAGAAGCAGAAAAGATCAGACTGAAACGGGATTAAACCACGTACGGCTATGTTCCCCTTCGCAGTCAAGCTCTTTGGGGTAGCCACAGACGGTGTGGTTATCGACACCGACGCCACACCGAGCAAAGCACCGCAAATCGCTTCCGCCTGCCACTTCTTTTTCCGCAGTCTCCCCTCAGGACCCTTTCACAAGCTTGAGGTGGCTGAGGGAGAGAAGCCGAATAGGACCCCGAAAAAAAGGAAGCCATCACAAGCGTCTCCGTTCCCGCAAGGCCCGGCGTTGCATCTATTTGCAACAAGTGCACCGAGCACAACGCACCGGAACAGCCACCGCGGCATCGTCGACCTACCCAAAACCGCAACGCCCGACCCCAGACCGCGCGACGACACGACGCCAAC